CCGCCCCTCCCCGCCCCGCCGCCACCAAGTTGGACGGTAACTGCTGCCCCGGGCCCATAACGCCCGCTGCGTATGGGCCTCCGGAGTCGCTATGGAGCAGTCGCTGCTGGAGCTGGCCCGAGTCTGAGCAGGGGATGAATATGGAGAGCGGCGCGGGAGAGGGGGGCTTCTTCACATTCACACCGCACTGGCAAATTGAATGCATACTCCCGCCCTACCCCCTCCCCCCACTCCCATGCATCTGAATATATATTATCTCTCTCTGTCGTAATGGGACCGCCACGCTACGCCACGCCGCCATGGCGCCCCCATGTATTCAGTATGTACCCCCTCCCCCTCCCCGTCCACCTCAAGTGCCCCCATTTCCACCACGTTCCCGATTTGGCCCACTGAGAATGGTTTATTTTAGCGATATCTCTCTCGCACACAAAACTAAGCAACAGCGACAAGTGATATCAAGCGAAGATTTTATCGCACGACGTTGGACTTTTTGTCACCTGAAAGAAGTACAGTATGAGGGAAAACATATCGGTATAATAGCACACATTATTGAAAATGTAATCACATTTTTTGTGATAAAATGTTATCGCATTACTTTGGCACTTAGCCAAAAAATTTCTTCTTAAAATTTGTCAAACTTTCGTACATACGAGGAGTCAGTAAAAGTATCGCTAGTAAGTAGGATTCCAGTGACTATCACCACTGCAATAAAGGAGAACGTAATTGAATTTAGGTCATGTCGAAATCAAATATTGTTCAGACAAGAAGGGTGGTATAGGCACAGGATTAACCCAGTATAGCAAGTCGCGATTGCAGATTCTTTAATTCGCGAACGCGGCTTTGTAGCGAGAGGAGAGAGAAGACAAAGAGGAGAAAGTAATTAGAAGATTACAATAGAAGCCAACAAAAAAGATCGCGGGCGCGGTTTCGGTTTTGGCCGTCTCCCTCAGGACGGAAATAATTATTATCATATCATCATGACGGAGCATAATCAAGAGGCGATGGTCTGCTCGGGGTTGTATTGCAGGGGCAGCTCCATTGACCCATCCTGCCGCATTTCCTCTCCCTCTCTCTCCCCACCCTCCTCCACTCTCCCTCTCTCACTATCTCCCTCTCCCTATCGCTTTGCTGCTTCCTTATTGTTGTTGCGAAAAATCGCCAACAGATGTCGCCCGTGGCGGCTATCACTTAGCTCGCCTAATCGGAGCCAGTGCCACCGCCCCCCCC